CATTTCCTTTTAGGATTACTATAAGTATACGCCCATTTTTTCTCTTCAAATTGTTCATATTAGAATGTATTAGAATATTGTTATTTCAGAGATTACATACTCATTGTTTGTTTGTTTGTTTTTTTTTTGCAAGAAAGGAAACGTCCTTTTCTTATTTTATCAAATCGATTAGTAATTAATTGAACTCCCTAATTAATATGTTATCACTACTCTTATTGTTGTTAGGGGTGGTGGTGTTGTTGTTGTCGTCATCGTTGTTGTTGTTGTTGTTGTCACTGTCCTGATTTATTGTACTTTTAATCGATATAAATCATATAAGATTGTTTCATGTTTTTTTTTTAATTAAATGATATTTAATAATGATACTTAAGATAAGGTTAATGTTTTCTTAAAAACAAACAACTCAGGAAGTAGTAATAATAATAATAATAAATGATTAAAAATATTCAATAGATTTAAGAATTATTATTCAATGATTATTATCAATAATAAGTAAAGTGAATAGATTGATGTCGGAATATTTCATGAAGTATTATAAAAAAAAGCTACTTATATTAAACTAAATAGAAAAGATTTAACTTAAAATCTTCGGATAACCCTATAGCTTTATAGTTTTAAACTGGAATCTAGAGTGTACATAGGTTCAAATTTAGATCTAGATGTATGGAAATATATATGAATACAGTGATAGTGATTGCTGTTTGATGTATGAGGGTGGTTATCATTTCCTGATTGCCCACACCGTAGAGTATTCATTTTAGAGGTACCTAACAAAGAAATTGGATTAGAGATGGTCTTGGTAACCGAGGAGCGTGAACGCGGTGCCCAAGGGACAACAGCTTGAGATCGGTCACACACGACCTTTATATGAGTAATATTCGTGTTAGCTCCATACTTGTTGAGATCTTATCGCTGGTGACAGATATTCGTGGGATAAGACGAGGTGTGTATTTTTAGGGTTGACATTTTCTAACCTCACTATCGCTATTATGTTGGTTGTTTGAAAGAAACACCTTACTTCTAACAAACCTCTGTAGAGTCAGCAGTACGACTTCGCCTTCGGACCTTGAGTTTGACGCTTTTGGTCTTACCGTTCTTCAACCGACCTGTCTGGCATATATATATCATGTTGTATGATAGTTGTGCTAATTATTATTTAATAAAAACTTTGATACCTTTCAAATCATATAGTTTATTCTGTGGTGGCTGTTCTTCATTAATCAATCACCCACGTAACCGTTATTACATAAATCTCAACGGTGTTTAAAATCAGAAGGCAAATAAAAGCAGCAACTACTGGTTTATTAGCAGATAGATGAAACTACAAAGAGGAGAGGTGAATGAGTGGGTCAGCGAGTCGAGTGAATAGGATTAGTCTACATGTATATATATATATATAGTGAAATGAATAAATCATCGTATCAATTAAACAGCTAATAGTAAGGCTAACAGAATGAATATAAGCGTAGGCAATAAGCAATACTCAAGTATACATATTCATACAAGTGTAACAATAATAAAGGTACAATGATATAAGTTGTTATTTTACGAATGACTGCTCTATCCATTAAATAAGTAAACAAAAGAGCTTAACCAAATTAAATGTGAACAAACTCAATTGCACATGAGTTGCTCTAATTCAATATATTCTATCTATGATCAGCTTTTAATATAAGATGGATCTCTTTAGATTGTCACAAAAAGGTTTCAATTAAAAGAACACTGTTTTCATCTTATTTCCTTTGAATTTTTGAATAGAGTATACAGGGCTACCTGTTCCTGCTATCTAAATATTTCAACAAGTTAATTAGCTTTCTTTTGAGATTGTAATAATTTCAATAGTTGAGGTCATGAGTCAATTGAAGTTAAACCACCATGGAAAATCTGGAAGCACTGAACGGCATTTTCGTCTTAGTATGGGAATTCTCAACAGTGCGCATTCACGATCCTACCCTTTGTGATTAGAACCTAGAACTTATAGGTCTCGCGTGCGAGCGCTTAACCACTAGACCACTGAGCCGACTGGCATCCAATGGTGTTAATGTCTTAATTCAAATAGTCATGGATGCTCACTGCTGAGGATTCCCACAATAGGACAAGACGGCCGTCCAATGCTTCCAGGTTTTCCATAGTAGTCTCGTTTCAATTGATTCATGATCTCAACTATTAAAATTACATCATTATATCTATTAATCGCATAACCTATTCAGATGTGTTTCTGAAAAGTGTACAACCTTTTATTATACAAGTTATGAAAGATTCCAGTCAGACATATTGTAGTTGCTGACAATATGCATTGAAAAGAATATACATTATATAGATGTTGATTGACTGAACTATTAACTTCTAACTAACGATCACTCAATATTCATTGTCAGGATCTGCTGAAATGTATGAAGCGGAAATCTGTTGAAATAGTCTGTACTGAGAATTCTATATTGTAATGTAATATTGAATAAAGGTAATAATAATAATATACAATAATAATGTACAGTAATATTTGAATTATTCTAAATTCATTACCTTTAATTAATGCTAATTTCAATAGTTGAAATCATGAGTCAGTTGAAGTTAGACCACTATGGAAAACCTGGTAGCACTGTTTGACGGCCGTTTCGTCCTAATGTGAAACTCCTCGGCAGTGTGCATTCACGACCTCACCCCATATGAGATTCGAACTCAGGACCTATCAGTCTCGAGCGCGAGCACTTAACTATTAGACCACTGAGCCAGCTGGCATCCAAAAGTGTTAATGTCTAACTTCAACTAAACCACGAAATTGAGCGACACACATCCACCATTGTCTTCATTGAGTTACTATCTCACAACAGACCGGGTTGAACTCCACTGGTCACTACTTCTCACTAGAACTCCAGGATATACCTCGTGAAGCCAGTCACTAATGAGCATATGTTGAATAATATCAGATGGGTTTTGTGGATATTATAGTACTTTCAAATAATATTTAATAATTTTAATCGTTAAATTTATGAATCAGTTGAAGCTAGAGTACTTAGAAATACTGGATGACTGTTTCGTCCTATTGTTGAACTTCTCAGCAGTATGCATCTAAAATTTTACTCTGAAGGATTTGAACTTAGAACTTATCAATCTCGTGTGCAAATACTTAATCTCTAGACCACTGAGTCAGCTGGCATAAAAGGGTTATATTGTCTAATTTCAACCAACCCATGAAATCGAGCCACAGGTCTATCATTGTCATTGGTGAATCACTACCTCACAACAGACACAAATGAACTCCAGGAAATACCTATTGAAGCCAGTCATTAGTGAGTGCATGTTGATTAATATCAGAAGAGATTTTTGTAAATATTATAGTATGTTCAGTAGTTGAGATTATGAGTCAATTTAAGCTAGATCACCATGTACAACCTGAAAACACTAGATGGCCATCTTGTCCTATAGTTGGACTCCTCAGCGGTACGAATTCACAATTCCACCCTGCAGGATTTGAACATAAGGCTTATCAATCTCGTGCGCGAACGCTTAACCAATAGACCACTGAACCTGCCAATATCCAATGGTGTTAATGTCCAACTTCAACCAATCCACGAAATTCAGCCACACGTCTACCATTGTCTTCAGTGAACATTTAATAATTTCGTAAGAATAATTAAACCTAAGAAATAGATAAATTACATTATCTTTACTTATGAAATGTTTTCTATCCAAAAAGATCAATGACCAGGGTAGTTGTGTAAAGTATTTTAATTAACGTCAAATGAAGAACTATTGGGGACAATAATATACCAAATTATATTTTTTCCTAGTTTGTCACTTCTGTAATTTAAGCAACAAGTAACCAAGTATTTCAAATGTTACTGACTGTTTTCAACATTGATGATTAGAAAATTAAGACAGACATATACAGTTGACGCGTCTCAAGATGTTACCGTATTTACAATCGTTAATTGATGGATATTGATGGTTGAAAAAAATTCCAATATTTTGTTATAAAAGAATGGTTTTAAGTAAATAGAGAGTGTAGTGTTGGTTAATATGCTAAGCTTATATACCACCTTATTCTAGCTTCTGAACAAGCCAATTTATCAATTTCACTTGAGTCACATTTTAAACATGTTAATTATGGACTTATCAACCTTGACTCTTTATATGAGCGCATGTGTGTACACTTTATATCCTATTCATCACATGTCTGTAACTTATTTTTGTGTGATTATAAATATTGATGAACGCTTGATTAAATGGAGTTGGCTCACACGCATTCTCCACTGTCCGTCACTTCGCTTCGTTCATTTGATCGTCTGCAGGGATCAATGAGTGTACAAAGTATACGTATACGAAATCCTTTCTCGTATTTGACTTGTTTTAATTCCGTTATTCACTAACGTGAATTAAGTCGATAATTATATACGAGGATTGCCATGATGTATATTTTGACAACAATCATTTATACAGTCCAATTGGATTCAGATTTAGGGCCGCAAAAGAGGTAACGACCAACTAAAACGAATTCATATTATTCTACTGCAATTACTGTTCTTAGCCAGTTAGCTACAACATAGGACCAAGCACATATATGCATCGGTCCAAGTTGCCATACCTCATTAACACAACAAGATGAACACCGGATTCATAAAAGTAGTTAATTCAAAAGTCTTAATATATAAAAGAAAGATTGCAATAAGGATATAGTACAGGAAAAAAGAATTGGTTCGTAGAAAGATATGAAGCGATTAGTTTAAGGGAAGATAGAGAATGTATACACCTACGCCATTGTGATCGATTCTGAGCAATGTCAAACACAGTCTTCAACCATTGATTACGGTAGTCACGCGGACACCAACTAAGTAGTCTGCATCTACCAACATCGCTCAGACTAGAAGTTATTGACTTTACAGACTGATGTCACGTTTTGGTTTGGTTTCTCGTAAATTTATGGGTTGAATTATTCAATGTAAACTTTCAATATTCAACAAATCAGTGACACAAGTAGTTTAAGCCAGTCTATATTTGAATTATGTTCCCAAGGTTAAGGTCTGATCCCGAGCATTTGTGTAGACATCATGGATATCAGCCATTTGAAGGAGTTTTTTCGGAACTGGAGCACCAACAATGCCTGTCCCACGAGGAGCTGGGATCAAACGTACTGGCACAGAACCACATTTTCCAGTCACTTTACATGGAACAGTGTGTGGTTTTCCAATCTGATTACCCAAGTACCCTTTTCTTACAGGAATTATTGACAGCTTTGCCTGAATAATAGCACCTCTAATAGCTGTAGCGACCTCCTTAGCATATTTAACTCCTAGTCCAACGTGACAGTTATGGTCTCCCATTGCAACAATTTCTTTAAAACGGGTTCTCTGGCCAGCACAAGTATGCTTTTGAACTGGCATGATTTTAAGGAGTTCATCTTTTAAACTTGAATCCAATATGGTATCTACAATTTCACACTCCTTAATTGGGATACTGAACATGTATATTTTTTCTAATGTAGTGATTTTCCTGTCGAATACCAGACGTCCCAACTGAGTAACAGGCTTCCATTCTATTGTTGCAACTTCCCCTCCTCTAGCACCGGATATACACTTTTCGTTCTCGCAATTTCGTACACAACACCCCGGCCACGAGAAGGCAGTGATTAGGACTTCCCCGGCAGAGGCTATGTACGCCTGGCCGTGTGAGAACATTTTGAGAGGGAGAGCAGATTCTCCGCACTCTCGGCCGCACCAGAGCATTTGTTGAAATACTTTACCCTGAGAATTCCATATATATAGTACTTACTTACTTACTTACGCCTGTTACTCCCAATGGAGCATAGGCCGCCGAACAGCATTCTCCAACCCACTCTGTCCTGGACCTCCTTTTCTAATTCCATCCAATTCTTGTTCATTATTCTTATGTCTGTTTTTATTTCCGGATGTAATGTGTTCTTTGGTCTTCCTCTTTTCCTTTGGCCTTGAGGGTTCCATGTGAGGGCTTGTCTTGTGACGCAGTTGTGTGCTTTCCTCAATGTGTGTCCTAACCACTTCCAGCGCTTCTTTCTGATTTCTTCCTCCGCTGGGATCTGGTTTGTTCTCTCCCACAGTACTATATATATAGTACCAAGACTATAATATTGAATAAAGCCACCAATAATAATAATGAAGTCTAACACAACATAACAGACTAGATGATTCTAACGAAACTATTAAACATCAACTATTTCTAATCAAGATACTTCTATTAATTTTATGATAAAAAAAGAAGTTCCAATTTAGTTTCTATACAATCTACCATGGAACATGATTAATTATTGTTAAAATAGATAATACTAAATAACTTTGTATACAGTATCTATTGAATTGAAATAATAAGAAACTTAAATATGTTCGATTCTTAATATTCTTTATTTCTCTTTATTTAGTTATGACATTCAAAATAAGTTTGGAAGATTAGAACTTCTAAAAGTATTTTAATCATTTGTGTTTTTTTGGTAATTTTTTTTTGCGGGGGGGGAGGGGGAAATAAACAAACCAATTCAAGTTTAAAATTACTTTCTATGATTAATTGTCTTTTTAGTTTTCTTTTTTTTTTCAAGGAATTTTAGTTGAATTCGATGAAATTTTAGATGTATGTTAACGACCTTTGAATAATGTTGAAGTGATCTTGAGAATGTTCACTTACAATACTACAACGAAATGAAGGGTAGAGACTTTAATTTATGGATGAGTCAATTAGAAGCGTTTTAGAGATTTCGAGGTTACGGCGACAACTTCAGTGCTTAATGCTAACGTACGATCGATTCACACGGGATTTTGTACAAAACGTGATAATTGAGCGGCTATAACAAATAAAACGGCGAGACTATAAAGTGTATCCACTTTATTTCCTTGATTTTGTATAACATCTTTTTAGTCTATACTGACTGTTTGCTGATTGGCTAATATTTCGTTCAAAGGTCATCTATAAATTAGAGTCTCGCCAATGAAGGTTTTAAACTTATGTGAAGGATAAGATTTGGGATTTACAGTTGATATGTAAGGATTTAGGGTTTTCATCATGAATCGATATCAGTATAAAATGCCAAGATACTATTTAATCAAAATGGATAAAGAATTTCGCGTTGAAATTCAAGATCTGTTGTCGTAAATTTGATTGGTTCGTTCATAAATTATAGTATTGCCTTGAATGTTATAGTATAATAGATCTTTCCTAAGGATATAACATTACAAATTATAAATGTATCAAAATTTTAGTTAGTAGTATAAGAAGATTTATTGGTGAGACTATAATTTATGGACGACCTTTGGGCGACGCTAAATAGACCTTGAGACCGTCCACCTACATACTACGACTAAATGAAGGTTATAAATCAGTGTGAAGAATAAGGATTAATATTTCCAGTTGATAATTAGAGTTGGGAATCAGATATCAGGTTTTCATCACGAACATTCATCAGCTATAATGTCAGAACGTTATTTACTCAAATACATGAAGTAATTTCGCGCCAAAATTCAAGACTTGTTATTGTAAATCTGATTGGTTCGTCCAAAACTTATAGTGTCGCCTATTGTACTATAATTTAAGGTGTTTTTCTCAAGTGTTAATTTAAAGTGAGCAATTGGTTATTTATTGAAATGGGAAGTTTGTAAAATATAGTTTCATTTCAGAAATGAGCTTCATCTTGGAAGATGTTCAAATGACGAAACATTTAATAGTTATATGAATCTTCTGTGGTGAGTATTCATAGCCACATTATGTATTAATAGAAGAAAATTAGGTCTTTCTGAAAGCACAATACATTTGAGCTAGTAAGTTGGCATTAAATATTCCTTGCTTTCAACTTCAATTAGAAAGATTAATAATCACCTTCCGTGACGACTGTCACTTTCTCGATAAAGCTGAACTGCCTTTGTTAAAAGTGATGTTGAAATAGTTGTCTATAATGGCTATACTTAATTATCCATAGAAATTATTAAGTACTGGAGCGAGAATACCATATCATACAATACTGCTATTGTAGTGAACAGTCGAATGTACTTGACACAAAATTACAGGACTTGTTAATAAAATCTAACAATCATAAAGTTAATGCTCATCATTTGTCCTTAAATGACTCAGACTTCATTGTTCTTGCATTTTCATACAAATTGCATTCTGTCCCGATTCTTTACTGTTCGATCCTCTTGTCCCTGTGCTGCCAGATCTTCTGTTCACGACTAACATCATATACTACTTATGTCAATACTAACTAGCACACACCACACTATTACATATCTTAAATATCTATATTATTTAGAATTTAATATAAAATATGTTAACGCAGTTCCGTGACTATAAACAACAGCTGTGTAGTCAAGTAAACAAAAAAAATTATTGTGAATAACTTGAATTACATTAAAACATTTACGGACTGAATCTGAAGGGTTGTCACTGTAGTGACATTTCAGTCAGGCCATATTCATATGTGACCTCATATCCGATATCAATAAAAGTGTCAATTGGTTAAGGATAAATCAAGCTAAGTCATGGACACAAGGTTTCCTATATTCTATTGTAGTTCATCTGAAAAAAACAACAAAGATTTGAAAATACAACAGTGACAGCAGAATTGAATGAGTTTAGTTAGATAGATTAAGAACATTTTTAGATAGACCACATTATTATAATAACAAAGCTTAATGTGATTTGTATCAAAACGGAATAACATGTGAGTTTCTTGCCAGGATTGGGGAATGACAAATGTCAATGCGAAGTCTCCTTAACACAATCTAAATTTATTTTTGGTAATTGAGTTCTTTAAAACATCTACTTAATACTATTATGCTCCTTTAAATTTGCTTCGGTGTAAATGAATTATTCATAGTATACTCCATAGAAAAACAACATTTTATGTTATAATACTGTTTAACCATATCAAAATTGACGATTGACAATAGATGAAGACATTCACTGCCAATCCTTAATTATATATACATGTCTTGTAAATAATTAGATAATAAACACCACTTATGAATTATGACTTGTTATTTAATAACTCTGAATGATTACTGATCAAATCCCATTTCTGTTTCACTTTATGCTTCCAAGTTGTTGGATGCGTCTTGATATAATTTGATGACTTTCGCAATGCATGTCTTTTTTGTAATCAGTTGGAAGCTGGTTTGTTCTCTATCACAGTAGGCTGTTGCTGATGGTTTAAACATAAACACATAAATATATTTTATATTTCCAATTATTGTCTGATGTATACTCAATATTTCATGCAAAAATGTTCCACGATATAATGTATAATATTGTCAAACATTCAATGAAATTTTCAATACTTCTTACTTAGTTACTTACGATTGTTTCTCCCAATGAAGCATAGACCACCAAAAAGCATTCTCCATTACACTCTGTCCTGGGACTTCCTTTCTAGTTCCATCCAATTCTTGTTCATTCTTCTCATGTCTGTCTCCGTTTCTCGATGAAATGTGTTCTTCGGTCTTCCTCTCCTGCTTCGGATTTGGGGACTCCATGTAAGGGCTTGCCTTGTGATGCAGTTCCGTGCTTTCCTCAACGTGTGTCCTATCCACTTCCAGTGCTTCTTCATCCACCGGAATCTGGTTCGTCATCGCTCACAGTAGATTATTTCTGATAGTGTCTGGCCAATGGATCCGAAGTATTTTACGTAGACAACTGTTAATGAACACCTGTATCTTGTGGATTATGGCTTTCGTAGTTCTCCAAGTTTGCATCCCATATAGTGTAGCTGTCTTGACATTTGTGTCGAAAATTCTGACTTTGGTGTTTGTTGACAGACAGTTGTTTTGAGTTCCAGATGTTCTTTAATTGTATATATATTGCTCTTGCTTTGCTGATCCACACAGTCACATCTTCATCAAATCCACCGTGTTCATCAATGATGCTGCTCACATGTGTAAAGGTTTTTACATCTTTCAAAGCTTCTCTCTCAAGTGTGGTTTGATTGGTGCATGTTGTGTTGTATCGGAGTATCTCGCTTTTCCCTTTGTTTATGTTGAGACCTACTGTAGTGAACAGAACACAGGTGGGGACAATCGAATGTATTCTCCTACATTTGTTATTGAGTGTGCGATAGAAGAGCCACATCATCTGCAAACCATTGAAATATTCAATATACTTGAATGATAAAATCAGTTTATAGATAAAATTCTTTAACTATCATGTGTACAAATATGATCATGTTAGTTGTATTTTTAAATTTGTAACGAGATTGATTTATGGACGTTGTGATTTAAACTAAATGCCGATTATCGCTACTGATACAACTATTTAACATAACTGCGGAACATTGCTACCTTCTACTTATTACAATGTAAAGAGGCTGCTGTGTGAATTGAGAGAAGAAAACAAGACAGTACATGCAATGTCGAGTCACTTAGATTAGTCGTCGCATCGCAACTTGGTCGATAGGTTTCGATTCACAATAAGAAGGATTTGACAAACATGACACTGATCACCACCTAGTGAT